ACATCGGCGCCTCATGTTGTTCCAGTTGATGGACTCATAGGCTCGTTATAGAGTTCCTCTCTAAGAGCCGCCACGAGGGGCGTGTCGGTGGGGCCGTGGGCTCTCAATCCGTAGATGTAGCACATGGGGAGGTAGACCATGCGGCAGTGGCACCACATACGACCTGCGTAGGGGAGTGGAGAACGATGGAGAGGGATGGCGAGGGATGGAAAGAGATGCAGAAGGATGGAGAGGGATGGGGAGGAGTAGAGAGGGGGGCTCTCAACCCGTAGATGTAGCACATGGGCAGGTACACCATGCGACAGTGGCACCACATACGCCCTGGGGAGGGGAGTGGAGAGGGATGGAGATGGATGGGTAGGAGTTGAGAGGGGTAGAGAAGGGGGCGCTCAAGCCATAGATGTAGCACATGGGGAGGTAGACCTTTCGACAGTGGCACCACATGCGTCCTGGGAAGGGCGATTGGGAGGGAGGAATGGTAGTGTGCGAGGGGGAAAGAGGGATGAACCCGAGAGCAAGGGAAAGAGAGTGAAGGTTCAAAACTGTGAGGCACTGTTATTGGAAAGCTGCAAATGTTCATTTTGTGCGCTGTGGGGTGACTAGATCGTGCATACATTCAACGTTATTGGAACGCTGCGAATGTCTCAATGCAAACATCTTGCCAGGTGATTGTGATTCACCTTGTGGTACCACTCACACAAGGAGCATCGTCCAGGGAAGAGGAGTAAGAAGAGGGAAGAGGAGGATCATACCAGGGTGTACAGGGAGGAAGTAGGGCAGCAGCCACATTTCAGGCGGCATGGGGTTGATGCCTCTGTAGTCATACACGCCTAGCACCTGCCCATTGCAGCAACGGAGCATGCATGAGGGGATATGTGGGGGAAGGTTGAGTGCTTAGAGGCACTCAGGAGCTTTCAGGCGGCATGGGGTTCGATTGCCACGGTAGTTGTACACGCCTAGCACCTGCCAATGATAGCAACAGGGGATGCATGAGGGGATATGCGATGGAGAGGTGAGTGCTTGGAGGCCTTCAGAAGCTTTCACCATACCCCTGTAATCATACACGCCTAGCACCTGCCGATCGCAGCATTGGAGGATGCATGAGGGGGGCGGGAGGGGACATGTGAGGAGAAGGGTTATTGCTTAGAGACGCTCAGGGGGTGGCAGTGGCATGGGGTTGACGTCCCTGTAGTCATGCACGCCTAGCACCTGCCCCAATGCCCATCGCAACAACGGTGGACAAGTGGATGCGAAGGAGGGTGAGGGAAACGGCACCCACACACACACGCCAACGGAACCTGCAGCAGCAGTATCCGCCCAGTTGGCATCATCAAGGGTTGCGTTGCATTGCTGCGAAACAACAAGATAAGAAAAAAACTACTGGAGAGGAGAGAGTTGGGTCGGGTGCTCAAAAGAGTTTACTAACGGGATGGTCCTTCTGTCTCGTGCATCCCTTTTGAGTCGACTCAAAAGTTTCTGGAGAGAGAGAGTCGGGTCGGGTGCTCAAAGAGTTTACTGATAGGATGGTCCTTCTGTCTCGTGCATCCCTTCTGTCAGCTGATGGTACGAGGATGCAAGAAACAGAAGGTCAACAAGAAGCGGGTGACCAATCGGTGGTTGAAGGGTTAGTTGGGCAACTGCAACACCATTGGTCACGAACGTGGTCTAAAGGGTGACCCTTAAAAAACACATAGTTCCCCGAGTGCACTCACGCAGAGCCAGAATTTGCCCCAGGAGGTGCTGGCAGTGGCACCAGCATGGCAGCAGAATGCAGATGGTAATTAAATACATAGTCCCTCCCTCCCTCCCTCCCCTCCCTCCCTCCCTCCCTCCCTCCCTCCCTCCCTCCCTCCCTCCCCTCCCTCCCTCCCTCCCTCCCTCCCTCCCTCCCTCCCTCCCTCCCTCCCTCCCTCACTGCACTCACACAGAGCCAGAATTTGCCCCAGGAGGTGCTGGCGGTGGCGCTGCCGTGCGAGAGGATCCACTCGCGGCCAGCTGTCATGGCGGGATTGGCGGGGTGCTCGCCGAGGATGCGCAGGGAGACATAGTTGAGGGTGGATCCGAACATGGTGCTGTGGCCCTCTATGTGCAGCCCCCACCCGCCGTCCGGGTTCTGAGGGAGGGATGGGAAGGGGTTAAAGGTGGGGGGTAGAGAGGATGGAGGGTGGGGGGTAGAGAGGTAGAGGAGGGGCGAAAAGGGGACACAAGAGATGGAGACTCAGGAGAGGGTTGAGCCGAACACCCCCCTACACCTGCTGTGACTCTCTACCCCCCTAAACCTCGAACCATGCAATCGGGCTACCATGGAACCCGCTACTTCGGATTCCCTTCTCCCCCATCCATCCCACACAATCTCCACGCACCCACCTGGTGGTTGTAGAGGTGCCCACCTGGTGGTTGTAGAGGTGCCCACCTGGTGGTTGTAGAGGTGCCCACCTGGTGGTTGTAGAGGTGCCCACCTGGTGGTTGTAGAGGTACCCCACCATCTCCCTCTTGTGCTCTGCTGTCAGCAAGCACAGACCCATCACCCGACACTGCTCACAGCACCTGATCTCTGCGAATCATGTGTGACGCTCACCTGGTGGTTGTAGAGGTACCGCACCATCTCCCTCTTGTGCTCGCCTGTCAGCAAGCACAGTCCCACCAACCTACACCACTCACAGCATCTGTTCTCTCTGAATCTACGTGCACTGCCCACCTGGTGGTTGTAGAGGTACCGCACCATCTCCCTCTTGTGCTCCGCTGTCAGCACCTGCTCCAGCGCGCCTGTCACATGCAGCGTGATCAGCTGAGAGGTGAAGAAGAGGCAAGGGGGAGAAGGGGAAAGGGGGGGAAAGCTCCTTTGAGTTTGCTGCTACAAAGACTTGTGTGCACAGCCACAGAAGAGAGACCCTTGTGCTCCGCTGTCAGCACCTGCTCCAGGGCGCCCATCACATGCAGCGTGATCAGCTGAGAGGTGCAGAACAGCCGTGGGGGAGAGGGGGAAAGATGGAAAATGCTGCTTCATGTGCACTTTGCTGTCAGCACCTGGTCCAGTGCGCTCCTGACATGCAGGGGGGTCAGGTGAAGGGGGATTGGCATGGGAGGGCTCAGCAGAGGGAAGAGGAACGGGGAAAGGACAGGCTCTGTTCCGCTTCATTCACGAGTCCCGCACGCTCTACTCTACTGTCACACACCACCCGGAACAAGCTTTGCGAGCTCTGCTGCCAGCACCTGGTGGTGCAGGGCGGGCGGGCTCACGATACAGCACGAATTCGCAGAAATTCACGTTCCCCACTGACCAATGACAGGCCCACGCGCACCAAAACAAAAACACCTCTTCTCACTCACCAGGCCCGGCATGAGGAAAAGAGGGCCGCCATAGTCCCCCGCCCAGTGCCCGTCCTCCGCACGGCACGACTTCACACACAGTCCCGTCACCCACTGAAGAATGGTCGGCCCACCAGTGGGCGCGTCAACCCCAACAACCGGCACAGTGACTTACCAGGCCCGGCATGAGGAAGAGAGGGCCGCCATAGTCCCCCGCCCAGTGCCCGTCCTCCGCCTGAATCGTCTCATAGAAGCGCACCGCCCTCCTTAGAGTCACCTCCACTGCTGCCTCATCCACGACTGTGGCTGTTGCCACCGGCTCCTCGGTTACCCGCACAGGGGGCGGCTGATTGGCCGGGGGCTTGCCTCCTGTGAGCTGGGAGGCAGAGGGGATGGAAGAGGAGAGCAGGGAAGAACAGAAGCGGGGAGGGACAATGTGAGACCTACAGCATCCACCACTGCAACCTCATCAGGGGCCATAATGGAGGCTGACTGACAGACGCACATGTCGTGGATGGGGCTGACTGACAGACGCACATGTCGTGGATGGGGCTGACTGACAGACGCACATGTCGTGGATGGGGCTGACTGACAGACGCACATGTCGTGGATGCGGCTGACTGACAGACGCACATGTCGTGGATGGGGCTGACTGACAGACGCACATGTCGTGGATGCGGCTGACTGACAGACGCACATGTCGTGGATGCGGCTGACTGACAGACGCACATGTCGTGGATGCGGCTGACTGACAGACGCACATGTCGTAGATGCGGCTGACTGACTGATACATGGTAAGCTGTACAGCGTGAATGAGTGCGTGCGTTCGCCGTTCGCTTCATATTCAGACATGGTTTTGTTCTGTGTGTTGCTTGCGGTCCAATACATGGTTCGTTATAGCCACATTCGGTCAAGGTTGCAACCACCTGCAGAATCATGAGCGTCGCTGCTGTGCTTCCTCTCGTGCCTGTGCTTGGACATCCGTTTCTTCACAGTCACACTCGGTACAATACAATCACCTGCAGGCGCATAAGCGCATCGCTGCTGTGCTTCCTCTCCTGTCTGTGCCGTGTGAACTCCTCCCTCAGCCTCTCCACCTCCTGCCTCTCCTCCTCCGTACCTGCCGCTGGGTCAAACTCCCAAGTCTGCGTGACGGGGAAGAGGAAGTATAGAGGGTGATGAAATCAAGGAAACCCCTTGTTGCCGGGTCAACTCCCAAGTCTGTGTGATGCAAAAACCAAGGAAACCTGTTGATGCGCACTCGTTTCTACTCAGTCCGTTTCCTTTGGTCCAACTCTCTTGAGATCGTTGGACGCAGGGAGGGATGGAGGAGCGCAGAGAGCGAGGATACTGTGAAGGAGGAGGCATAGAGCAGTAGAGCAGTAGAGGAACGGGGTTCATGGCGGTGGGACTCACTCCTGTCATACTCTGTTCTCTCTATGTCAATGCGTATCCATTCACCCATTCCACTGTCTCATTCCCGTCTCGCGTCTCCTAATCCAGTTATTTTGACTGCATATACATCACAACAACCCACAGCACCGCTCTCCTTGATAGTCCTCGCTTACTATGCGTGTACATTCTGGCGAACGATTCCTGGGTAGATCGCAGATTGCACGGGTAGATTAGGTCGCACAAAGCTCCGCCAGTCGCTCAGCTCGCAAGGGCATTATGTAATGCGTCCTAACCATCTCTCAATGCACGCACAGTCGAACACGATGGTCGACCGTCTGGCGTCGCAAATACCGTCGCACGCGTCGCCTGGTCGCCTACGGTCGCACCTGTCGGCCAGGGAAGTCGCTGACGCTCGTCAGAAATGGGCTGTCCCCTGTCGCAACGCGAAGTCGCCACATTGCGACAGGTTCGCGCACAGATCCACTGCTGACGGCGAAATCGCCTTTTTGAACGTTTCAACTTCAGCGCGCGTGGAGGTTATGCAAATTCAGAGACAAAAGTGACCATTGGTCAACGGTCGTCTCGCCGAAGGCTTGTGTTGTGAGTACAGGTAGTTCCTCATGATTTGTCACAGATCATACCAGTACCGGTTTGGAACGCAAAAGAACGAAGAAAACCACGACACATGATTTCAACAAACATGCCCTACATCATCAGGGAAAGGATCTTCTAGAACCTCTCAGGTCGCTTGATACAGTATTGAAAAAAGTCCGCTAACAACACATGGATCCATTTAAGACATGGTAGTGTTACGAGTGCAATTGAGTGAGCGAGCGAGAATTGCACTATCGAAGCAATAATACCATGAGCGAAGGCATGAGCGAAGAATATATAGCGAAACTACAGTGGTAACGGTATTGCGTGGAAATGGGGTGCGCGACGTGTCAGAATCAAGCAGCAGGAATGATTGAACTATGGAAGGGTTGGGTACAAATATGAAACCCTAAAGTGGGCTGTACCCCATATTGGCTACCCCACTACAGCCTAAACATGTATAGCAGATATAACGTTTGACACACCCCCACAGGCAAAGTGGGGGAGAACAAGGGGTCACAAGACCAGTCAAGAGAAGCAAAGCAAGCTCAGGGTGGATCACAACGTCACCACACACACTGAGCACAAGCAGAGGGCCACAAGGCCAGTTCACATGCAGAGGTATATATGCAACAATAACAGCATAGTGATCTCTACCTAGCAGAGCAAGCATGCAGGTATATATATAGATCACAGTACAAGCAAAGTCTACAGCAAGTGAGGAAACGTGGGCACAAGGCCTAACAAAGTGCAGAAACGCTGATGATCACCAGACGGAAGTGCCTTGGTGAATATATCAGCAGTGTTGGCCCGAGTGGCCACGTGAGCAAGACGAAGCTGACCACGCTGCTGCAACTCTCGAGCCAGGAAGTAACGCAGAGCGATGTGCTTCGTTCTGTGCTCCAGTCTGTGCTCCTGACACAAGGCAATGGCGGCCTTGTTGTCGACGTACAGCACTGGAGGAGAACGAGGCCGCTCTCCCAAGTCGGTCAGCAGGTAGGTGAGCCAGCGTAACTCCTGTGCAGCCATGGCTGTGGCGTAGATCTCAACCTCACAACTGGAGCTGAGAACAGAAGACGAGCGTGTAGAACGCCAAGAAACTGAACCAGAGCCAAGGCTGAAGGTGTAACCCTGTCACGACCGCTGCGTAGCCTGGTCGTCAACCCAAGAAGCGTCTGAGTGCCCAGTGAGGACAACTGCGCTCCGCCCTCCAAGCACGAGCCCCATGCCCGATGTACCGCACATGTAGCGCAGTACCCTCTTCGCAGCATCCATGTGCACCTTTCGGTGCCGACCAGGAGCCACGTAGCGAGCCAGAAGGCCAAGAGGGTACGCAAGGTCAGGTCGAGTGCAGGTCATCAGGTACATGAGGCAGCCCACTAGCTCTGGATACGGGCCACTCGGCTCTACGGACTCGTCCGAAGGTGGAGCTGAGAGCGAGTGGCCTGTAGCCAGAGGAGTGTGCTGTGGCGAGGACCAGGTGAAGCCAAAGCGCTGAAGGACCTGCTGCACCATGTGTGACTGAGTCAGTGTGATGGTGCGGCGTGCTCTGTCCCGGGTGATCTGCAAGCCAAGGTAGCTGCGCAGTTCACCCAGGTCTGTGCACGTGTGTCTCTTCTGCAGCTCCGACTTCACCAGGGCGAGAGCCTCAGTGTCAGCAGTGGCAAAGACCAAGTCGTCGACGTACACGAGGATGTAGAACGGCGGCAGCGACGTGTCGGTGCGCAGAAACAGCGACGGGTCAGCAGTCGACGGAGCAAACCCAAGAGCCGCAAGTGTAGTCCTCAGTGTGTCGTGCCACTGACGTGGTGCCTGGCGGAGACCGTAGACTGGCCGTCGGAGGCTCCACTGGGTACCAGGAGGGAACGACCCAGTGAAGCCAGGAGGGCGGCGCAGCCATATCTCCTCGTGCAGGCTACCCTGTAAGAAAGCTGTGCTGAAGTCAAGAGAGTGAAGCTCGTAGTCACGCTGATCGGCAACGTGCAGCATCACCCGAAGAGTGGTCATCTTCGGGGTGGGGGAGAAGGTCTGAAAGAAGTCAACTCCCTCTCGCTAACTGAAACCTCGAGCAACGTAACGAGCCTTGAAGTCAGGCGGAGAACCTGGCGGCCGCTTCACCCTGAAAATCCACATGCCACTGACGATGTTCGCCCCAGGAGGGGGAACCTCGTCAACGTAAGTGCCTGTGGACTTCTAGGATGCCATCTCTGCGTCCATGGCTGTCTGCCACTGAGAGGAGTACTCACCCGCGATCGCCTCAGCGTAAGAGCGCGGGGTAGGGATGTCTGGAGCATCCGGGTCTCCCTCAGGGGCAAGCAGCATGGACACGAGGTGAGGCGCAGCGGCTGCAAGAGACTCAAGGTCCTCCTGCCTGTCCTCAAGGACGTGCGTGCCAAGAGCACACTCACCCCCGACGGACGGAGGACAGACAGACTCAGACTCAGCAACAAGACTAGCGGCGTAGTCTAGACGACAGGCAGCAGCAAAGTCAACAATCTCAACGACAAAGGCAGACGCAGCAGCAGACTCAAACGACGGGTCAGTGACAACTGTGGCTAGCAGACGCGTGACAGTAGGGTGAGCAGCACGGGTGTGGTCAGACTCAGGCTCAGGAACGGTAGGCAGAGAAGACGCAGGAGGGGACGGCAGGGGGACACGCTGCGGAGGAGAGGAAGGACGACGAACTACGAGGTGGGTGCCGGGGACAGTCTGCTGACGCGAACGAGGAACACGACGACCGGAACTACTAGAACGGACAGGCGAGACAGGACGCGACGCAGGCTCACGACGCTCAGTAAAACCCCCTGTCTGCTCAGTGTAAGGAGAAGGAGCAGGCAGCGGTGAGCCAGGCTGTAACGGAAGACCAGTAGACGAAGGGAGACTAAGAACCTGGCGAAGCACAGAGTGAGGCGGTGGCTGAGACGACGGAGACGGTGGAGCGAAGAACAGGCGCGGCTGTGCAGTGCCACCAGCACCAGCAGCTCCAGCACCCCCAACAGCTCCAGAACCCTCAGCGCCAGCTCCTCCAGGACCAGCTCCACCAGCAGCACCACCCCCAGAACCAGCACCTCCAGTCCCAGGGTCTCCAGCCTCAGTGTCCCCACCAGCAGCACCCCCAGACCCAGGGTCTCCAGCAGCAGCACCCTCAGGCTCAGCAGCACCTCCAGCCCCAGCAGCTCCAGTACCTCCAGTACGACCACCTCCGGGACCAGCACCACTCCCAGCTCCAGTGACGGCAGCAGAAACACCTCCAGCGGCAGAGCCCCGAGCTCCAGAAGCGCGACCCTGACGGCGACCGTACCAGTCGTGCAGCTGCTGTGAGGTGAGAGGCACACGCGGACGAAGGCGGCTACTCCAGGGAGACCGCGCAACAGCAGACTCAGAACCCTCAGCGCCAGCACCCGCAGCAGCTCCAGAACCTCCAGCGCCAGCACCCGCAGCAGCTCCAGAACCTCCAGCGCCAGCACCCGCAGCAGCTCCAGAACCTCCAGTGCCAGCACCCGCAGCAGCTCCAGAACCTCCAGCGCCAGCACCCGCAGCAGCTCCAGAACCTCCAGCGCCAGCACCCTCAGCAGCTCCAGAACCTCCAGCTCCAGCACCCTCAGCAGCTCCAGACTCCGCACCCCCAGGCTCCGCACCTCCAGGCTCAGCACCCCCAGGCTCCGCACCCCCAGGCTCCGCACCCCCAGGCTCAGCACCCCCAGAAGCAGCACCCCGAGCAGGACCACCCTCAGCAGGACCTGAGTCACCAGTGACCTCAACCGGCGCAGTCAAGGGAGGAGGGTCTACATGAGACACACCTGAAGGAGCAGGACCGGGAGTGGGGAGGGGGTCTACCTGCGGAGCACCTGGAGCGAGGAAGAGCGGCGGGGAGGGGAGAGGGGCAGTGCGGTAGGGGAAGAGACGGTAAAAGGGAACCGACTCGTCGAACGTGACGTCCTGAGAGGGGAAGACACGGCGCGAGGTGGGGTGGTAAAACTGCCAACCAGGCGCGTCAGGGACAAAGCCAAGGAAGATACAGGGAACAGCGCGGGCGGAGAGCTTGTCCGCGGTGGTATCGCGGACAAAGGCACGAGCACCCCAGACCCGGAAACGCGACGCATCGCCAACCTTCCCCGTCCACAGCAGTGTGGGCGAGGTCTCCGACAAGGAGACACGGGGCCAGAGGTTGAGCTGATGCGCGGCGTGCCGGACCGCAAACGGCCACAGAAAATGGGGGGCAGCCGCATGGATCATGGAGGTACGAGCGACCTCCATGACTAAGCCAATGCGGCGCTCAGCAACCCCATTCTGCTGCGGAGAGGCCGGAAGCGTGAACGACTGGGTGATGCCGTGCTCCTCACAGAAGGCTGCCAAGAGGTCGGAGGAAAACTCACCACCTCTGTCAGAGTGCAGACGCAGGACGGGAAACTCCGTCCCGAACCGCTCGCGGAGCTGGAGACGAGCAGCGCGGATCCAGGGGATCAAAACATCAGGGACCTCACCCTTGGTGCGCAAGGGGAAGACCGTGGTGTAACGCGTGTAGTCGTCGACGACCAGCAGGAAGTACCGCTTGTGGCCCTGACCACGGACGCGGGCTGGGCCCCACACGTCCAGGTGGAGAGTCTGCAGGGGAGCCTCTGTGGGAGGGAACGAGGAGGAGTGAGGAGCGGCGCGCTGCCGCCCCTCGACACAGGGAAGACAGGGAGGAGCAGGCGAGGGTGGTAGGGGAGGGAGAACCCTGGGAAGACCAAAGACAAGGACACGGCGGTGCATGCTTCGAAGGCGCTGCACCGAGGGGTGACCAAGGCGGTGTTGCCAAAGGAGGGTCTGGTGCGACAAGGCGCGACACGAGCAGGGGGACAACTGACCTGACCCAAACGCA